ATTTTGTTGTTTGTTTGGTCTTTCTAAAATAGTCTATTGTTGTACATGTTTGTTGTCGTTTTGGTTTACACATTTTGCTTGTTTGTTTTGTTTATTTTTGTATTACTGTTAGTGATCTGCATTCAAGATCAAGTGGTTCACCTACTTTTTGTCAAAAATCTTTCGAAGTTTCTGTTTTCTTTGAGTATTTCTCTTGTTGCAAGTTTGATCTTGTTTGTTTCTAAGCTGGATATCTGTTGTTTTTGTTGTTTTTTCTTTTTCTTTAAGGCCTTGTCAGGTGTTTTCTATGATCTTTGTTGAGTTTTGACTGCTTGTTGTTTTCTGTTTGTTTGTGTACAAGTGATCAGCAGAAAGAGTTGAGTATAATTTTTTATTATTGTTGGCAATTAAACTTTTTAACTAAATTTGTTTTTAATTCAGAAATATGTATTTTTATAATATTATTATTGTATTCTTTTTTTATTCTTTTTTTTGTATTTATTTTTCAAAATTTGAGGATTTGGAATGAGATTTAGGATTTAATCAGAGTTTGGGATTTGGCCAGAGTTTAGAATTATAAAAGCTCAAAAAGGGTTTGTCCAGTTTAGATTTTGGGATTTTTTCATATGAGATTTGGGTTTGGGTGAGATTTTGAAGATTTTTAGTTTGTGTGGCATGTATGTCTGTAGTTAAGTTACAGATATAATATCTAGTATAGAATCTAAAAATAGGCAGACTACTTAAAATAGATACTAAAAATGTATATATAGCTAGTATATACTTATCTAATATAAGGGTTTCTTGATGAACCCCTTATTCTGTATTTTTGAATAAAAAATTCTAGCTCTGAAGAGGCTAGTTCAAAAAAAAAATAAAAATAAATAGGTAATTTATTTAATGATTAAATAATTACAATTTAATTACATTTTCTCAAAACACAACTATTAAAAATAAACAAATTAAATTTCTTCTTATAATTTATTGAATAACTAGTTACTATTATAAATTGATTTTATAAATTTACTTTTTTAGTATAATCATGCATCTAATTAAATTAGTATCAATAAAATTAGCCTGTATTATGCTAGCTTACTTCACTAAAAATATTTTTACAAAAATTATATATATAATTCTTAAAATTTGTATACATTGCTATTGCATTTTAATAAAATAGTTAGATTTAAATATGTGTTAAAAGCTAGCTTTTATATAATAAAATGAGTAATATTTTAATAATTTAAATAGAGTCTATAATAATAATAGGTAATAATTAATATATTTGTGCAACTTATGTGGTATTTAATTAGCCTAATAATCAGTCTGTTCAATCTTATAATAATTGGTTCTAATCAGTTCTAAACCACAATCTAGTCTAATTTTTTAAAAAACTGCTAGTTTTTGGATCAAGACAAATCAGATAGACTGCATATCCACCAATTTGTAAAATTGGGCCTTCAAAATAGTCTTTAAAAATATTAATTGATCTGCAAAAATCACATGCTGATTAGATATAAATAAAAATATTACCCCAAAATCACATGTCAAATTTGTTGACTTATCTTGAAAATATAATAAAACAAATGTTAAACCTATAAGCTTAACTCAAAATCTATGAGTTTTTTTCAAGTAATTAGGAATTCAGTAGAAGGTAATAAAATTACAAGAACTTTTTTTTAAACTTTTATATTTTTATAAATTTATATTTTATAATATATATTTTTATTATAATATATATTAAAGCTATTTTTGTTTTAATGTAGATTGTGTGACAATTTTTTTAATCTATATAAAGTTTATATTTTTAAAGATTTGGTTAGCATTAATAGTTATAAATAATAGTAATTAAGATTTTTATTTTAATAATATTTACAATATATATAATTTTATTATATGTATATACAGTATATATAATAAATATATTTTAACCAAAGTTATTTAAATATAATAGAATATAATAAATCAAAACAATACAGAAGAATATGAATATAATATATGTCAAAAAAAATTTAAAACTAAATAAAACTAAAAGTGGATTAAAGTGACATATTATTATTATTCATAAATATAATATTCTTTAAAAAGGATTACCAGTAGTAATACTAAGTCTTACAAAGATATTTAAAGATTCTTTAGTTTATTTTATCCATCATTAGTTACCTAATGACCTTAAAAATACTAGAATGAAAACAATTTCTGTAGCATTTTGTAAAAGTTAATTTCAAAGATCTTGAGTATAACGGTATTGAATAGTCTATATGCTCTTATATAATTATAATTATCATATCAATTTTTTGTAGCCTTTCAACCAGGTTGCTGAATATGCAAAGCCAAATCTCCTTTTTTAATTTTTTTAATAGCAAACTATTTATCAAATGGAATCCATTCAATTAACTTCTCATATTCAAAGGCTTTAAGTTGAAATTATCTAATGTAATCATCAATATTTTTATTTTTACTTGTCTGTATAAGAACTTATATTAGAACCCACATTACCAAAAATATCCGCATCACCTCTATATAAATGAATTGTGTAAATTAAAATTTCAGTTAAACTAACTCACTCATATTTTCAATAATAGTAGCCCTCTTTAAATCCTTTTATTATCGTACTTTTTCATAGCCTTCTAACCAAGTTACTAAATATGCAAAGCCAAATTTCCTTTCCTAATTTTTTTAAAAGCAGACAATCTATCAAATAGAATCCATTTAATTATCTTCTCATATTCAAAGGCTTTAAGTTAAAATTATCTAATATAATTATCAATATCCTTATTTCTATTAGAGTTTTAAGTTTTATAGCTTATTGATTAAGCTCTCAAACCTCTACAGACAAGATTGATGGTTCAAGTTAGGCTAGAAGCAAATTGAATAATTTGTTTCTGTAATCTTTGAGGGCCATAATTAAATGTAGAGCCCTGTAGTCAAGTCCAAGTGCAAGTATGAAGCTAAAATAGAAATTCCTAAAAAAAGATCTAAATATAGAGCGTTGGCACTATATATGCCGAAGAAATTATTTTGGATTTTGGGGTATGAAATTAAAATTTGAAGACGAAATTGTTTTTGATCTATTTTACTGAAAAGACAAAATTTTTTAACACTTTTTTTGAAGAGACGAAATTATAAGGAACATAACTACCTAAATTAGATTTGCTCTTGCATATAAAAAATTCTAAATTGTTCTAATGAAGACGAAATAGGGTTTTTTTGAAAACCTATTTCGGTGGTATGTATAGTTGGCACACTATATGTAACTACGGTGTTACAGAAGACTGCGGCTATGAAGATTACGTGAATAAGTCCTTAAAGAGACAGAGCAGCACCAATATCATTATATCTTCAAGTTTGGCAATACCAATATCTCTACATCCAACTTGTGGAATACTTGCTTAGAAGAGTGATCAATGAATTGTATGAATAAGTTCTTATTTAGAAAGAAGATACAGGTACTTGCTTGGAAGAGTGATTGATATAACCAAAGTTGGAAGTAGTGAAAAAAGCAGTGAACATGTAGATGGTTTGTGGTAAAGAATTGGCTTTATCAGAATTAGAAGCACCTTTGGCAATACAGAATGAAAATACTATAGAAGGCAAAGACTATAGAGGTTGTCTGATGTTCTGTGTATATATAAAGATACCGAATTAGGCTCCGGTTGCACCTATATAGAAGTCTATAACGAACAAGTCTAGGATCTACCAACCTCAGAGTTTACAATAACAAATAGTAGTACGGCATCACTAGGGTTGGTATAACTCTCTAGAAATAACCAGAATTGTCCTGGTATTGTATGACAACATGCTGGGAGCAAGCATTATATGGTAGTATAGCATCACTAGAGTCAGTGAACTCCCTGAGTATAACCAAAATTGTCTTGGATGCTTGTGAAATATGTTCTAAACTCACCATAGCAGGTAGTACTTAGAAGAACTAAAGAAAGCGTCAAGTAACTGTATAATATTAAGACCTGGGGCATCTGCAGTTGAGCTGCAATAGCAAGAACTAGTTTGAGATACAGGTTAGTAGTATCTAAGCAAATAAGTAGTAGGGGTTACTCGACAATGAAATACCAATACTATCATGTGGTGAATCTAACTAGGCAACAGTTTCTGGCTTAAGATATGAGTTTCTGCAGATCCTGGACCAATATTAGAATACTTTAGAGAAAACAATAATATGGTATACCAAACTAGAAGATCATAAAGATCTATAACCTGAATATTACTAATTTGGAAGTTATACAGAAGCAAGGTAGTAGAAGTAGAGAACATAGGCTTAGCTAGATATAGTAGTTTCAGGATACTGGAGTAGTATCAGTACAGATATGATTTTTCTCTACTGGCTCAGCGGTTTAATGACAATGCTTCTCCAAAGTTAGGAGGTACTCTGACCACAAGTGTTGGCCTCAGTCATAGCGTGCTGGTGGTGCAACAAAGATATATCTGAGCACCCATTTGGGTAGCTAGATAATGTTATCAGATTTCTGTATTAGATTAACATAGTCTAATAATAAATTGTAAAATATTTTGAACAATTATGTATGTATTCTAAATATATTTAATAAAAAATCACTAGTCTTTCTTGCCAAGTTAAAAAAAAAAAAAAAAAATTCTTATTTTTATTTGTCTGTATAAGAACTTATATTGGGGCCCATATTACCAAAGGTATCCATACCGTCTTTATTTAAAATGATCAATATTAGACACAATAAATCATATAAATTACAATTTTAGTTAAACTAACTCACCAATATTTTCAATGATAGTAGCCCTTCTTTAAATCTTCTTATTACTATATTTCATTAAACAAAGATAAGCAAACTATGAAAATTGACAATATTAAGTTAAAAAAAAGATGATAATAATAAATAATTGGTATATAATTTTACCTATTTTTTCACCTTCGCTTGCTATTTTTAAGCTTTTTCTAATATATCAGCTTAATTGCTTAAATTTCCAGAATGATTATAATATTCATAATCTAAATTTCTATTAGCCGATCCAGGTAATTCATTATAATCCACTAATCAATTTCTCATATTAGCTCTTTGGCATCTTTCTACACTAAGATATTCATCATCTTGAAGAAGTTGTGGTATAGAGGTGCAGGCATAACTTAGTGGTATAACTTTGATCACATTATAATAAGCTATATTAAGTAGTTGCAACTTTTAATGGCATGTAGCAAAAATTGTATATTAGATCATATAACATATGCCGTAACTTGTGTAGTATGTCAGATCATATGGCAT